ATTAGCTTCTTATGACCTTTAGGGCAATGACAGGAAATGTCAAATGCAAGACTAAGCAAACTTGTTGATGGGAACAGACGTGACAGGGACAAATAGAACAGGAAAGTATGGTAAAATTAGCACCAAGGAAGTTATGGTCCAGTTGCCTAGGACACCTAGGAGTCATGTCTGTGGTTTGTGGTTTTTGAGGATAAAAGGGATTGCATCTGAGGGGGTCAGGGCCACAGGGCTAAGCTGTCTTACCTGACCGCTTGCTCGTGATGGTGGGCATTGCAACGTGAATCTAAGTGGGTGGCCCACATTGCAGTGTGAATCTAAGTGAATGGTTGGCATTGCAATGTGAATCTAAGTGAGTACCTTGTATGCTATTGGTTGAATTTTACGTGCTTATTGAACTAACATTTAATAAAGCTTTTAGAACTTTGAAGTGATTTGTTTTATGGTGTGTCTGCCTCCCATGTTTAACGTGGTTTTTTCCCTGACAATAGAAAATTAGAAATTCTTTAGAGGAAGTACTTTTGAAGGTTGCAAAAAGCACTTACCTTTGATGGGTTAATAACAATATTTCTAGCAGACCCATGTTCATCTCCTGAGAAAGCTGGCTGATTACTGAAACCTTGCTTTACATTCACAGCAGTTAACTCATCCTACAAATAAAATATTTTGTTAACTTAGTTTTGCAGCAGTTCCAAATTTTATTTACTTTGATCAGATTCTTACTAAGAACTTCTATTGTGCTATGAATAAGATATAATTTCATGCTTTCCTTCTTTGTGTGTTAGCCTTACAAATCTATTTAATTTATGAATTTTTGTTATCAACATTTCATACATAATTCTCTTACAAATACTATTAAAAATAATTAAAATCTAGCACTTAAATTCATCTAAACGCTTTTTTAAAAAAGTCTAAACCTTTTCACACATTAATGGTGCAAACTCTGTGTTCTTAAACATATAGGTAACAGCTTCTTCTCCTTCTCCTTCTTCTTGTTTTACACTAAAGTAAGGCCACGGATCTGACCCAGATTGGAATTTAGGAAGGAGGCAATTTGTGGATAATACAAAAAAACCTGTTATATTTGAGTATTTTTGTTTACTCCATTACCTGTTTCAGTTGGTTCACTCACAGATTTCTCCTGAAGAACATTACTGACAAGCAAGTTTGTACAATGCACTATTGTTATTCTATTGCATGGAATACATAAAATAATTCAAGTGACAAGTAAATACATAATTTTGGATTACATTTTTGGTACAAAATTTAGTTTTAAAACACCTTTAAAATGGAGGAGATGGGAAAATATACATATGCAACTATAAGCATTATATTATTTACCAAAAAAATGTATCCACCCTGCTCTTAAAGGAAAAAAATTGCATGGGCCTCACATTTTCGGAGTGTTTATGTCTTCCACAACTGCAGAAAATGGAGAAACACTGCTTTATGGGTTTTTAATTCCCTTGAACCATATAATGTCCTAATTCAGATCAGTTCCCAATCACTTTCGATAGTACAACTGCACGTGCAGGACAAATGATCCCTGTTCAGAACTACAGCAAAGACAAAGGATTAAGCCCTTAGCCCCCACTCTAAGAATTAGTTAATGTGGTTAATTAATATGGTTGCTAGCCAGGCTTTCAAAGTAACATGTTGTCTAGTCCTATATATGACAGCCAAAATGTTTGTACTTTTTAAAATGTTGGGAATAGAAGCAGAATAGGGATTGGATGCAAGATGCCCATCTCTCACACACCCTTATTGTAAGATGCCATTTACATCTCTTTTGCAAAGCTTTTAACTCTTAATTTCATGGATTTTAATTTTTTATTTGGTTTGCCTTGACTTTATTGTTATGTTTTATATTCTGCATGTTTGTATACTGTCTCGAGTGTCCCTACAAAGGAAAAAAGGCATTGCCAATTTAATTAAAATCTTCCTGCATACCAGAGAAATTATGGTCTTCCAGAATCTCAGCAATCACACCATCTTGCTCGGTGGTGAACGAAGATGAGCATTTTTGTGCAACAACATCTGAATGGTTACCAGTACCCATTCCAACCACGCTGCTATACAACTTCTGTCAGCTGCAGCATTCCACATGTATAACGCTTACAAATTTGCTAATTCCTCAGGCCACTAAGCGTGCTGCCATCAAGACTATATATTCTACATACAGCATGCGGATCCTGTCAAGCAGGTAAGTAATCTTTCAGCTAGTAATGTCAGCTAACATATTGCAGAGATCCATTAAATGTTACAAAGCACTAACCTAGTTTGGGCATAAAACCATTATTTAGTTTGTGGTTTAGGAATGAGAGCAAGCCAGCATCTCGAAATTAATATATCCCCACTTAAAATAATATATCCCCACTCTTCATATAAAAAACAGGATGGGAGGATTTGATGAGCTATTATATACGCTGCAATTTTTCCCTACATCTTAGCGAGAACACTTCCTTTCTTAATTTAAAACTGAGAGTACAAACTTTCAAACTCCTCCCTGTGTAAGCAAAATAGAGGAAGAGAAGTGAGCAAGCCAGAAATTCATTAACTAGATTCATACAATATACTAAATTCAGGTGAAGAAAATACAGTTACTGTGTTCATATAACATACTATACAAAAACCAATATATTATATTATGGCTTATCTAGACAGTTCACACAATTTGAACTACCTAATTTGATGACTAGATTCCGATAAAACACTAAAATAAGATAAAAAATAAAATAAAATACCCAATCCCATTTTAATCTAGCCTAACACAGTGTGCAAGCTAGCTATTCTGCTTTGTTCTCATAAAATTAGGCAACAAAAAGCTTCAACAAAGATCTAAATTCAGATCTCTGCTAGTAGTTTTGAAGCTCACTAACTTCAACAGTGAAGCTGAACCAGCCCTCTGTTTCAACATACCACAGCTGTACCGAGGAAACCGTGATCCACTGTAACCCATCTGAACTTCTAATATAAAAGTGCAAATGTAATTGTGAATATAGCCTTAGAAACCATATTCATCAGCTGGTACAAGACCTCCTCCTTGCCTCTGCATAAGCTTGTGAAACGTCTAATAGAGTTCACGGCAAATTAAGTATAAAATGAAAGCTATATACTCTGTCACAGGTTACCATTTAAAATATTTCTGCATCTGGCACATCATCTTTCCATTGGAAATTAACCCCTATTTACAAATCAATCAAACATCATCATACATGTTTCTTAATTTTCTACCTTGTATATCCTAGCTACTAGATGGAAGAGTAATGAATCAAACAGTCCATATCAAAAAATAATAATATTTTTCTCAGTTCAGAGCAAAGTGCAAAAAGCCCATTTAAAGGGCAAAAAATAGAGGCTGTAAATCTACATTTTAATGTATTCTCTAGTCCATAAAATATAACGATCATATTATGTAAACAAATGACAGAATTTTATTGAAAAGCAAAAATTCAATCCTACAAACAAGTTCAACTATGTAATTTCAAAATGCACATAGGGAATATTTTGTTTGAGCCAGTTGAGGCACATCTTTTTGATTAAATAAGGCCAGCACACAGCTTTCTAAAGACAAAGAGATGCTTTTGAATAAAAAGTCTTCCTTGTGCATAGAGACCGTTTCCCTGAAAAATGTATATCCAATGTTAATGTTTGCAACAAAAATGCCCATACTGTTTGTCTTTGTTGTGCTACAGTATCAAATTTACATAATTCCTGACTCAGAACAATTTGAACCTGATAAGGAGCTTCAGAGAATAGCAACCACAAAGCCTTCAATTGATTTGCACCATAGATCTTATTTTTGCCCAAGAACTGCTGTTCTCTGTTGGGAAAAGTTATTTTTTCTATCCATAGGTGGATAAATTTTAGACATGCACCAGGAAAAGATGACATAAGATGTCATAACAAAAGGGTTCTATCAGAATAGGCATCTCTAACATAAATTCTGTCCACCATTCAATCATCTATTATAATTGGACATTACATATTCAAATCATTGGAAAGCTGTATCTTCCGCCAAGCAATTTTTAAGTAATCCAGAATTTAATACAGACCCCTTCTTTCATTCATCTCTTCTTCATATATACCCTTCTAGATACTTCTCCAATAGTTATTTGTTAAACAGACAAATTTCCATGCATTTCAGTGAAAAGTGTCATCTCTGCATGCCCACATGTGCTCAGGGTTAGGAATATCCCCAAAATAGCCATGCTGGATCAGTCCTTAGAGGGCTTGGAGGAGTGCTTTTCCACAGCTCCCAAAACACACTTCTCTCAAACAATCCTCCTTGTAAATCACAAAATTCTACACACAAAACTCAACTATTTTTGGCATGGTCAATGTGACAGTGTAAGAAGCTAAGTGTATTTTTCTTCCGATAATTCATCAACACTACCGACTAACATGTATTAGTGAATCACTGTTCTAATACACCCAGTATGTAAACAGTTTATAATGCTCTTCATTCCACCCACATGAAATTTGTAGACTTTATTCCAGTAAAGGGAGTGGCCATTCTTGCAAATCCCATCTAACTGCATCCCCAAAAGCAAGATTACAGGCATTTCACTTTAAAAATAAAATAAAATTACAGTACGTTCTAGCTTTCTTTTCTTATTTATTCAAAGAGCCCCTTTTCACTATTGCTTTTTGCAAGACTTAGCTTATTTTGAACATTAGTATTTTTATATAGTTCCTATAGTTTCTGGAGACTACTTTATATTCTCCCTTGATTATGTGCCCCTCTTTTTATTTCCTATATATGTCCCATTTTCTCTTCAACATTTTAGAGAGCTATCCATATTGGTCTCTTTATATCTCTTTCTTCTTTTCCTTCTTATACCATTTACAATTCTACCTTGAAAATCTTGCTTCCCAAGATTCCCCATTCTTTCTAAACAATTCTGTCCTATGGGATTTCAATCCACTGGATCTGACTAAACTTTGGAGTTCATCACAATTTGCTCTTCTGAAATCCAATATATTGGTCTGACTCTGCTGAGTTTCTCCTAGTATTTGGTATTTTTATTAGATGTGGGCTTATATCTAAGTGTAGCATAAGATAATTTTTCTCCACAACAATCATGTGTGGGTGTGTGTGTGTGTGTGAGAGAGAGAGAGAGAGAGAATGACTAACCCAAAGTCAGCCAATGAGCTTCTTTCGCTAAAGGTGGATTAGAACCCGGTTGTCAGCCCCACAAGGTATACCAAACTAAGAAACCAATGCCATATAGGTCAGAATCACTTTCATTGTAACAGCCACAGCAACAGAATCTGTACGTCTGAATGAGCTTCCTCCTCACTTTATCTTCATGTGAACTAGAGATGGGCTTGTCTAAGACATTTTCTCAAGTTAGTTTCTTGGCTTGGGCTCAAGTCCCACTTATCTGATTGGTGCAGCAGTATTTCCTCCTGTCCTTCAAGGCCATTCCCTATGCCCTCTACACTGGTCTCCCCACTCCTAGTCCAACAGCTTAACCATTATACTACACAGGCACTTAAAATCACACCCTCCTCACCTCGATATCACAAATTTAAAAACAGCATATTCACTTTCAAAGCATCAATCATTTCCACTTCTTCAACCAGTTCCCCCCTTTTAGTGAAGATTAGGTCCAGGATAGCAGACCACTTTGTTCCTTTATCCGCT